CCTCACAGTAACCTGTTTCCCATGGCTAATGACTCTCTGAGGTGCCTCTCTGTGCCCTGCCCAAGCATCTTCTGAGTGGGTTGTGAGAAAGGAACTACCACAGCTGAGTGGCTGCGCTGACTCCGATTCCCTGTGGGGCTGAGTGGCAGCCCTGTCGCTCCTTTGATTGGATTGAAAGCCAGGACCCAGATTACCCATCGAGGCCCCTACCATTGTTGAAAGGGCCGGTGCTGGCTTATTGTTCTCTGGGAGAAATCTCAGCTTCCTTATTCAGATGTTTTGGTAAAATCTTGGTCCAGGGATCTTGTCCTGGGATGCCTGTGGGGGGGCCCTGGAGAGTGGGTCTGGGCTCTGCTGCCAGTAGGCTGTGCTGAGCTGGGCATGGTGGCTGTACCTGACAGCCTCCTGAGGCCTGGACCTTTCATTCCCAGTTTGAGCCTTGCAGCAGCCCAGCAGTCAGTGGGCTGAGCAGGGAGCGCTACTCTTCATAAAAGGGAAAACTGAGGCTCGAAGTAGTGAGTCTATCTGCCTAGCCTCACCTTGGCCTCCTGTCCTCCTGACTACCCTGAGGGCCAGAGCTGGACCGAATCCTGTGCTGTGAGATTAATGTCCTACTTCATCCTAGAGGCAGTTGTTGCCATGGTAACTGACTCTCATTTATTGCAGGTTCACTATAATGAGTTCATCCCCCAGTTTGAGAAGCAGTACCCAGAGTTTCCCTGGAGTGGTGTCCAGGTGAGTCTTGGGCTCTGCCAGTTTGGGGCTGTGGAAGCCACACCCTTCCTAAACAAGCAGTGGGGTCATCTTCCCGCTGAGACAGGTAGATATGGCTGGGCTAAGACCATCCTCTCCCATGCACTCTGGGCCTGTGTGTGTCAGTTCTGGAGGCTCTTTAGAATATTCCTAAGAAGAAGAGAAGAAATTCATAGCATCCCAAGGTAGCCTAAGAGCAATAGGCTCCAACAACTCCAGGAATCCAAGCCCATTGGGGCCGGGAGTCAGGGGATTAGTCTTAGGACAGGAAATGTGCAGATTGATGGAGGTAGAGTCCTGCACTGGGCAGAGCTCAGTGACAACTGCTTGTCTGGAATGCTTGAAGCACTGGGCTCCTTCCTTAATACAAAGCAGAAATGGACTCCAGCAGTGGGGGAACAGGCTGACATGGCCATTTGGCCAGGCCTAGAGACAAAGGATGTAGGAAGATGACCTGGTCTATCTTCAGGACAGGGTTCAGACAAGGACTGTGGGCCTTGTTAGTCCCAAAGTCAGAGAACACCATGTGACAGCATGGCTTGTCCCTAGGCTGAGATCTTCAAGGCCTTCACAGAGCTGTTCGAAGTGGCATGTGCCAAGCCACCGCCCATGGGCCTCTGCGACTACCCCTCATCTCGGGCCATATATGCCATTGACCTCATGCTCAAGTGGGACAGCCACCCAGATGGTAAGGGGACTCTTCACACCAGAACCTTCTACCTCATCCACCCAGGCCTAGACCAGCAGCACCTGGGACAGCCCTGGCTGCAGGAGGGTTTTTGATATGGCATAGTTTGCTTTGGTTGTTTTATGTATTTGAGAGTTCTGTCCGTGTGTGCATGCAGGAGTTAAGAATGGTTATAAGCCACCATGTGGATTCTAGGAACTCAATCCAGGTGCTCTGCAAAGACAGCAAGTGCTCTCAACTACCAAACCATCTCTCTAGCTTGTGGCTACCATTTCACTGGATAATTAGCCAGGTGGTCCAGGTTGGGTATTCTGGCCTAATCCATGAGGGAAACACCTGCATCAGTTCAGGGGGAGGCGGCCCACAGGGGCCATGAGAACTTCTGGGGCAGGAGGGCTGGAGCCACCCTGCCAGCCCCTCATGCCACTCCCTCTGACCAAACTGCCCATCAAAGCCTGAAGCAATATGCCCTCGTAGCCCTAGGGGTAGGGGGAGCTTCAACCTTCCTTTGAGGACCAGGCCTCAAGCCAGGAAAATGTACATTCTAGATCACACCTCTGCACACACACACTGGGGATTGAGGCCTAAGTCTGTACCCATCACAGTCCCCACCTGTCCTTCCAAGGCAGATTTGTACCCCGACCTTGCTACCATACAGCCTTGCCATCTCTGTCTCACCATCAGGAAAGCGGGTGATGCAGCCCCAGATCCTGGAGGTGAACTTCAACCCCGACTGTGAGCGAGCCTGCAGGTACCACCCCTCATTCTTCAACGATGTCTTCAGCACCTTGTTTCTGGACGAGACTGATGACTGCCATGTCACCCGCATCATCTAGGTGCCCAGAGCTCTGCCTGTGCTCGTAGCCAGTTCCAGCCTGTGCTCACAGAAGTGCGTCTGCAGTCCCAGCCTTCTCCTCTCTCTCTTCTCTCCTTCCCTCCCTAGCCAGAGCCTTGGCCTAAGTAAGGCTCAGCCCTCCTAAGCTGTGTTCCTGCTTCATATGTGGGCTATCAGGTCCATGTGTGGCAGAGCTGGACAGTGAGTGGTATCCCAAGGGCTGGGTTCTGCCCAGAACTCTCTGTACCTCTTAACACCCTCTCTTCTCTGAGTGTCTGCAGCTCAGCCAAGGGCTTTTCTCCTGGCGTCTAGAGAATTTGCACACAAAGAAGTGTTCTACAGAAACAGGGTTCCACGCGGAAGTGTTTGGAGACCCCGTATCCATTAGAGCCAGGGAGTATTCTCTCAGAGTCTCTGTCCTCCTGTCCCATGGCGGCTGTAAGCAGGGTACGAGTACCCTGTGCTGCACTCACAGGCCCCAGAACAGCCAAGGGGAAACACTTGCCAAGCTGGCCTTATGCCTCGGCACCCTCCACCAGAGCCTTCACCAGCAGACTTCCCAGCCATGCCTGCCCTTGGTAGTTCCCATCTGGGAAGCTGGGCTGTTCAGAGTCCCATGGTCTTGGTGTGCTGGCACCTCACCAAGTCCCACTGTGCTCTTGTGGTAGACAGGGTGCCAGGGTGCTCTGGGGTTGTGACATTTCATGGCAGAGTCCAGGCAGGGGTGACTGGAAATGCCACAGCTGCTAAGATGGCTCTGGGGAGAACTTCATGTGGGAATCAGGCTGCCTCTTGCCAAGGTTTGGGGTTGCCAAGGTGCTGAGGTTTGGGGTTTGGTTTTCTTTTAACCTACAGAAAGACAGTGTAACATCGAGTTCCTAATTTTGTTGCTGGAATTTGAAGTCAGCCACACAGTTGTTCTGTAACTGCTGGGCATCTACATCCAGCACCCTAGGAAGTGGGTGTGTTTAAATGGGTGGGAGGTGCTTCCAGACTCTCCTGTGGGCGGGGCACTGTGGTGTGGTGGCTGTTGTACTTGTGAAGGTAAAAGTGACCCTCTCAGCATAACTGGACATGGTTCTTCCTGCTCATCTCTGGGCGTGTAGGCCACCTGTTAGGGAGTGCACCCATCCATGTTGGGTCCAGCCACCATTGGGGGCAGGGTAGACACTTCTGGTGGGCCTGTCCCTGGAAAGCTGCTGGCCTCTGCCCTTTTATACTGCAATAAAATATGCCTTCTTTTCACCTGGTCTTTTCTCTTTGGAGCTCTAGAGGCACAGGCCTGGGCTGGCGGGGCAGCTGTGTTCCCCCAAGGTTGCAGGCAAACCCAACATGTCACCATGTGTGCTTTGAGAAGAGAAAGAGACCTCCGCGCTCCCTCAGACAGCTTGGCTTCCTAGTGAGAGTCCCAGTTCCAAGCTGGAGAAGAGCTCTGAGCCACCCTGTCTACACCACCAACCCAAGGGGGCTTTTGAGGTCACAGGGTCTGAGGCTTGACCCTACATGGTGTCCTTGAGAAATAGCATTCTCTGTGTTATCTATTTGTTGTGGGGTGAGAGGCCACAACTCATGAGGTGGTTAAGAGGCTCTGGGGGCTGACAGAGAACCATCAAGTAAAAAATGCCTGCTATCAAGCCTGAAGACCTCCCTGGGAACTACAGGGGAGAGAACCAACCCCCACAGGTTATCCTCTGACCTCCATGTGTATACCATGGGACATGTGAGTGGAAATGCATGTACACACAAAAATTTAAAAGTTTTCTAAAGAAGTCAGGTGCTTCACATGCGCCAGCTGGCCCAGCATCAGGCCTGGCCACCAGCCAGTTGTAAACAGTGGTTATATCACTGACAAATCCTCCTGGTATTCATCCATACCCTGATCGCTTTCTCAGTTTAAGGGGCTCACCAAAGGCCAGCACGTGCCCAAGGTGGGCACGTGCAGTTGGCTAGAGAGCCCAGGCAGCCACAGCAATGCTGCTGAAGGAAGTAGGAGCTGAGCCCTGCAGGCCCTTGCTTGGGCTCCAGGGAGATGCCACTGGCTGACCACAAACTGAAGTGTTTGACAGCTCCTAATCCTAAACCAACATGGCTCCCATGCTGATAGGTGGCTGCCCAGGTCCTCTGTAGCCAGTTGGCTGGGGACGTCAGTGTAAACGGTTGAGACTTGTGCTGTGGGAATGAGTACAAACCAGAGACCAGTCTAAACCAGCAGGCCAATGCCCTTCTCATTAAAGGTTGCAGAGAGCTATTGTCCTAAAAGCTGGTGACAGCGTAGGAGAGAGGGCGCCTCCAGTGGTGGGCAAGGGAGGCACATCTGTAGGTGGCAAATGATGCCCCCCACCACCACCATTTCAGCAGAACACTGGGGAATTGCTGGAGCTTTATGACATGCATTCCTGGCAGTGGGAGAGCACTGCTAAGAAGCCCTTCCCAAGTCTTGGGTGCACTACCCATCAAAGTATCCAGCATGACTGCCTGTGATACCTGATGGGTCATTTGTGCCCTATAGGGACCATATATACCCATGAGGCATATGGAAGCAGGCTGAGGCAGTACCCATATGAAAGGGTACTGGGACTGGATACTTTCTTCATGGCAGTTGGGTCACCCTAGGTGGAAGACCTGGGTGGTACAGCCCTGATAGACACAGCCTCAGCAGCAGAGCCATCCTGCATAGCCACCGTCTACCTGTCAGGCCAGATGTCCCACTAAGTACAGAGTCTGTTACACATGAAGTTAGAGACTTTATTTAGCTTTAAAAGGCCTACGCTCCTCAGGCATGCCTGGAGCAGTGCAGAAAGGCAGGGACAACTGTCCCTGCATGGGACTTGGCACTGACCACCTTGACATACCTGGTGGCTTCCTGGGCTAAGACCAGATAGACCAGTAGGCCCAATGGTCATAAAAGCATGTTGGCCACTACCCACAGTGCCTGACTGGAAGGGGTACATTCCTGATGGCTGGGTGCCTTCACTCTGCAAGCCGGGAGCCCCCTCTCCGGCCAGAGTTATCACGCCATACATAGTAGTTGAGCATGGTGGCAAAGGCCAGCCAGGCCAGGTAAGGGTACAGCAAGCGGGCAGCTGGAGGGCTCACTCGGTGCCAAGCCACAGTCGTGGCGGTTGCCACACCACTGACAAGCAGGAGGTCGACCAAGGCCTGGAAAGACAGAAGGTGGGAAGCCTTGCCAAGTCTAGAAGGTTCATTTAACCCTACTGAACCTTAGGGTATGATGCCTGCCTCTGTTCTCAGCTTTCGTTTCCTTGTCTGCAAATCCCTGCCTGACTGTGCCATGTGTGGAGTATGGATGAGAGCCCCAAGGGGACACAGCATATCCAAGAGGGAAGCAGCAGCTTAAAGGCCCCTGACCTGAAGATGCAGCATTGTAAAGTGCTGACCCAGGAGGCCAGTGTAGGGGCCAGACAGCTACTGCTATGGTACACACTCAGTGGCTCAGCCTTTTTTTGTTTTTTTTAAAAACAGATCTCACTGTGTAGTCTTAGCTGACTTTGAACCAGCTTTATAGACCAGGATGTCAGACTTACAGCAATCCTCCTGCCTCTGCTGGCACTAAAGGCCTGGCATGCGTCACCAGGTCTGAACAAGAACATTTTTAAGGAGAGGTTTTGTCCTCATGTGTCAGAACACAGAACACCAGATGTAATGCCAGTGTCTCACACCATTGCTTCTATACCCAAGATGGCAGCCCCACCCATTTCAGCCTGGCCCTCCAGACTTTCTTCATGGAGAGAAGATGGACTAAGATGGCATTAGTACACACAGGTCCCTGTCACCTAGGCTGGCCTAGCCCTCTCCTGAGCTCAACCAATTGTCCCACTTCAGCCTCCCGAGAGCTGGGACTACAGGAGCCCCATCGTACCAGACTCATGAACTCCTAAAGGGACTGGCAGGCCTCCCCCACCACCTATAGATACTGACCCCATCTGAGATGTGATGTCACCTGCTCTCCCAGGGCCATCTCCAATGACCCAAGAGTCAAGTTACAGCCATACTTACCCAGCCCATCTGCCGGGCACCAAAGAAGATGGGGGGCCACGCCCAGTTCAGAGCCAGCTGACCAGTGTAGAGACCCAAGGGAACCATTGCTTCCTCTGTGAAACCTCCCAGCTCTTTCCAGACTATGTAGGAGCCATACCTGAAACAGACAAGCGATCAGGACATCACAGGGCAAGGCCAAAAGGAATACCCTCTTCTGAGACCCCACGGCGATGGCTCGAGTATGCCCTGCTACTGACTTCTGTATGATCTCAAAGAAGCTGCTTGCCCTCTCCAGGCCTTCCTTTCTTACAAGATGGCTACAGAGATTTGAGTTGAGAATCCAAGTCAGTATGTGGCTACAGAATGAAGGCTGGGGGTGTGAGGGAACAAGCAAGCGGTAGCTCGGTCATTACAGGCTATTGAGGCCATGAGGCAACAGCCGCAGAGGGCTTATGGGAATGGACCACACCAGGGCCTGGTGCTGTAGAGAATAATCAGGAGATTGTGGCTGCCTCGTGCTTGCCTTGGCGTGTGTTGCTATTGTCCACGCTGACCTTTATACATGGGACAGCCTCAGTAGTTTGAGCCCAGTCAGGGTTCCCAGAGGCAAGCAGGAAAAAGTTCAGTCTTGCAACGCATAGGTTGGCAGCCTCACCACCCTTCCTTTCTCAATGAGAAATGATGCCACTCCATCCATGGGCCTCCTTCTGCAAAGGCACTCAATGCCCAGCCTGATTCCAGAGGGACCAGGGCACTGCATGGTAGCGCCTCCAACCACCTACCCCATGGCCGAATACAGCGTGCCCCAGATGGGAGCCAGGGTCCAGCGAGGAGGATGCCAGGAGGGTTTCTGCAAGCTAGCATACCAGCGGAGGCCCTCACCACGCACAAAGTAGGCTCCCATGAACCCCCCGAGGCTGGGCACCAGAGTGAGGCCCACGGCGGGCACCCAAGATTGAGGCATAGCGATTGCAACTGCTGTTCTGGAAAGATCTGAAAGAGAACACAGGGTGGGGGTGAGGGCAGTTCTACAAAACCTTGGGGGTCAATCCATCACCGCCTTCAGCACCTCTGGGGTCCTGTTCCCCAGGATCAGCCAGCCCACCTATCCCTGGTGGGTGAGGAAGGACAGCGGAGTCCCCACTCCACCCACACTCATGCCCCTGCCCAGGGGTGCCACTAGGGCTCCACCCACCTTTTTCCTACTTCTGCTGCAAGCATCTGTTCTTTCACCTCACCCTCGATCTGGGGTCTCTTGATGTGTGACCTCTATTCTCTGTCCCTCTGTCAGTTCTGCTTCACCTTAGGCCGAGTGTCACTCAGGGATGCTGGGAGGTCGGTGCCTTGTGTTGCAGGGCTTCATCCCACCATGCATTCATTCATTCCCTTGGTGACTGGCAACTGGCAAAGCTTGGCTCCCTCAAATCCTCTTTCCACACTCACCTACCATGGCCTCAGAGAAATCACTTCAACCCTCAGTTTCCATCTATGTACAATATAGACGCTGTCTACTTTAGTGTCCCCAGGGGGCAGCATAGAGTATCATGTTCCTCAGGTGTCTACCTCAGAGGCCAGCCCCATGCACCAGAGGAGGACAGCCTAGGCCAGGCTCTACTCTGATCACAAAGTTACATGAATGCTCAGGAAAACGATCAAGACTGGGTCCCGGCCCTCTTTCCGAGTCTTAGAGCTGGTCTCGGGCCCTTTGCAGTCAATCTCTGGGCTGAAGTTAAAGCCCTGTGAGCTTGAGAATGGGAAATCCTGGTGTGGAAGTCCGGGCCAGCTGTGCCTCTGCTTGCTATAGGAGTGCTAAGCCAGTCAATACCCTGACTGGGACTCAGTTTCTCCATCAAAAAATAGTTCCCACTAACACATACACACTGTTAGTAACTAGAGAATCAGGTGTCTGCTTGTTGGATAAGAAGCCACCCTGGGGAAGTGGCTCAGTATGGTAAAGCATTTGCTATGCAGAGTGTGAAAAGTGGAATTTGGATCCCCAAAAATCCATATGAATGCTGTGTGGGTGTGGTAATCCACCTGTCATTCCAGCACTGTGGAGGCAGAGACAAGATCCTCAGAGCAAGTCAGCTAAACTAGCGGGAACTGCCAAACTCTGGGTTCAACAAGAGACTCTACCTCACTCAATAAACGGGACATCTATTGAGGAAGATACCTGATTGAGGCCAGAGGTCCATGCCTGTGCACAAATGTGCATCGCATCACACACACACACACACACACACACACACACACACACACACACACACGGGAAAGAAGGAAACAATCTCCTACACAACAGCTCAGTGGTAGGTAAACAAAGGGCTTCATTAACAAGACCCCGAATTCAGTCTACAGTATGACAAAAACAACCTCACTGCCTGTAGTGGTTTGAATAAGACTGTCCCCCATAGGCTCAGTGATTTGAATATTTGGTTCCTGGTTGGTGGTGCTGTTTGGGGAGGCTTAGGAGGTGTGGTCTCCATCACTGGGGGCAGGCTTTGAAAGCCAAAAGCCCTGCCTCCTTCAGTTTGATTTCTTTGTTTCACACTTGCAGTTGAAGATGTGAGCTTTCAGCTTCCTGCTGAAGAGGTCAGCTCAGAAACTTTAGAACACTTGTTCCTCCGGAAAAGAGAGGCTAATTAACATTCCTCAGACCAGGGCTGGAGAGATGGCTCAGCGGTTTAGAGCACTGACTGCTCTTCCAGAGGTCCTGAGTTCAAATCCCAGCAACCACATGGTGGTTCACAACCATCCGTAATGAGATTGGATGCCCTCTTCTGGTGTGTCTGAAGACAGCTACAGTGTACTCATAAATAAATAAATCTTTAAAAAAAAAAAAAACATTTCTCAGACCAAAAGGGGACCGACCTGCAGGACGGACTATTGGCCATCCACAGACAAGGGAAGTCCCTGCCACCTCATTCCCTAAAGACCAATCAGTTTAAAAGTCACACTGTTCTGCCAATCATATTGTGCCTAGTTGCTGTTTCTCTATGCTACCCCTGGAAACCGTATAAAGGTCCACCGAATGAGCTGCCTGGGGTCGCCTCTCCTTTTGGATGCAGGATGACCCCAGCATACTGGAACAATAAAATTCCTCTTGCTTTTGCAACGATCCCCCGGCTCAGCGTTGTTCACTCAGGGGGTCTCTGGTAAACTAAGGCTCGTCAGAGTCTTACACTGCTCCTTGCAGTATACCTGCCCACTGCCGCGCCTGCCGGTCATGATGGACTCTTACCCTCTAACCTCTCCCTTCTATACCTTGTCTTGGTTCTTGTGTTTTATCAAAATAACAGAAAAGTAGCTAATCCTGTACTCAAGAACAGGGGAGTCTCACGCACTCCCTCCAAGCTTCAGAAGATTTATTTTTTTGTTTATAAAGTGTTTGGCACGCCAGGCAAGTGTTGTGAGCTGTTCTGCTAGCATGGAAGAGAACTTTTTTCTTACTCTTTTTTTTTTTCTTGTTGGTCCTGAGAACACTGAACCTAAGCCTTGTATATACCATGGCTTAGAAAATCTCAGATATACCAGATGAGCATTTTACCACGGAGTTGCATGCCCAGATCTCTTTATATTTTTTGTTTTGAGACAAGATCTTGATAAGTGTCCTAATTAGATTTTGTTTGTTTTTGTTTGTTAACTTGATGCCTCCATCAGAAGACTGGCTGTAGGCAAGTCTGTGGGGCCTTCCTCTGATCCATGATTGATGTGGGAGAGCCTAGTTCACTGTGAGTGATACCACTCCTGAGGAGGTGGAGGTTCTGAGTTCTATAAGAAAGCAGGCTGAGCAAGGGAACAAACCAGTAAGAAACACTCCTCCATGGCCTCTGCATCAGCTCCTGCCTCCAGGTTCCTACCCCGACTTCCTTCGGCTATGGACTATAATCTGTAAACTACATAAGCCCTTTCCTCCACAAGTTGCTTTGGTCATAGTACTTTATCACAGCCGTGGACAGTGAACTAGAATAGTAAGTAACTAGGCTGGCCTTAAACTCATTCTGTAGCCCAGACAGACCTTGAACTTTACAACATCCTGCGTAAGGCATCCAGTCATGGCTTAGAGGACATTTTTAATGAGTTGAAAACAGTTTTCGGAATGAACTTTTTTGGGAGAGCAGGAGTGGAGACGGGGTTTCTTTGTGTGGCCCTGGCTGTCCTGGAACTCACTCTGTAGACCAGGATGGCCTTGAACTCAGATCCACCTGCCTCTGTCTCCTGAGTGCTGGGATTAAAGTAATGTGCCACCACCACACAGCTATTTTCAACATAACCTTAAGGCAGACCAAAACATTTACTTCTCGGAGATGGGGTTGGCAGCCCCTCCCAGTACAGACGAGGCAGTAACCAGCATTTCCTGCATCTTTACTGAGTCACAGGATTCATCCCTCCTTGAGAAAGCTGGGGTACAGGAAATATCTGCCCAAGACTGGCTGCTCACTTAGCTCAGCCTAGTGTCACCTGGGGCAAGCCTGGGCTACCTCTGAAGCTGCTTATCTCTGCAATGGGGACATATCCCGCCTTTCTAAGAAATGCCACAGCAGTATGGTATCCAGGGAGCTGGAGGAGGCCATGACCAATGCATTAATTAGGCTTCCCCTGGGTGTCAGCATGGTCAGAGAAAACAGGAAACCCCTGCTTTCTCACACCGTGAGAAACTGAGGCCCAGAGGCAGAGTGGAGAGCCGTGAAGTGAGGCACTGAGTGCCCTGATTATGTTCGGTTTCTCTCTCACTCTCAGAAGAGTCCCTTCCACAGATGACCGGAAGCTTGCCATCTCTACAGCGGACATGGACATCACAGTCTCCTTGGGCACACTTGGTGATCTTCTTGTCAAACCTTGAGCCTGGGCCTGAGCCTAGAAACACCAGGAGGAACCTCAAGAGGAGCCTTCAGTACAAAGACTGACAGTGCTCAGGGTCCCTGGAAAGCATCGGCTCACAAGGTGAAGAAAGATGGGGGAGGAAGCCTGGAACTGTAGAAGATGAATGATGGGAAGCAGGGTGGGCTCACTGGGGCCTGTGTGGGAAGGTGGCTCGTTCTAAAGGTCAAACCTGAACCTGAATGGGGGTTGGGCGGAGTACCTGAGTGTCTGAGCAGCTGAATGGGAGGACTACCTGGAGGTATGAGAAGCTGAATGGGGGGAGTACCTGGGGGTATGAGAAGCTGAATGGTGGGGAGTACCTTAGGAAATGAGAAGCTGAGTAGGGGGGAGTACCTGGGGAAATGAGAAGCTGAATGGGGGATGTACTTGAGGGTCTGAGAAACAGACTGGGGAAGGCATCTCTGGTTTCTGAGACTAGGGGGAGGTAGATGGAGCCTGTGGGTCATTTTTTCTGCATTTGGGCATTTGTCAAAGTTTAAACAAGAAACTGCACTGTCCCTCCCAGCACCATAGCACATCTTGTAATCCCTGAGCACCGAGGCCCAAGGCAGGAGAAGTCTATACCGGCATGGGATACAGAGGGGACTTAAGAGGAGGTGAGGGAAGGAGAAGGAAAGGAATCAGTGTCCCTACTTAAGATCCTGTTGCCGAGTCCCCTTCACAGTACCACTCCTGCTCCACGGCCTGGGGACACCTGTGAGGGTTTTCAATTGGCTTTGTTGTTGTTTGTTTGTTTTGTGGAGCCCAAGCTAGCCTGGAACTCACTCTACAGCCCAGGCTAAGCCTTGAATGCAAGATCACCCTACTTCAGCCTCCCAGCTCCTAAGGGCTCAGATTACAGATCTGCAGGCCTGCACTGCTACAGCCTTGTTTATACTGTTGCCACCTCTCCTCTCCCTCTCCCTCTCCCTCTCCCTCTCCCTCTCCCTCTCCCTCTCCCTCTCCCTCTCCCTCTCCCTCTCCCTCTCCCTAGGATTTATTTATTTATTTTATGTATGTGAGTACACTGTAGCTGTCTTCAGATACACCAGAAGAAGGCATCAGATCCCATTACAGATGGTTGTGAGCCACCATGTGGTTGCTGGGAATTGAACTCAGGACCCCTGGAAGAGTAGTCAGTGCTCTTAACCACTGAGTCATCTCTCCAGCCCGCCTCTCCTCTTTTATTAGGGGCACAAAGATAATCATCACATAGCCCAGACCAGCCTCAAACTAACTGAGATAGTCTTCCTACCTCAGCCTCCCAAGCACTTAGACTACCGGGCAAGCACCGTCATTCCTGACAACAGGTTTTATTAACTGAGGTGAAATTCCTCAAATGTAAACAAATAATCTGAAATCACACAAGTCAATGATATTGCTGTCTCCCCAGCCTTCGACACCGAGTTCCAAACATGTACACTTCCCACAAAGAAACCAGTGCCTGCTGGCCACTCGATTCTTGTTCCAACCCAGCCCTCCCCATAACCAGCAAGTCCCCTAGGCCCCTCAGCAGCTGCCTTCTCTGAACAGTCCCTAGCAGGTCAGAGCCTGTATAACTGAGAACCCTACCTTAGAGGGTTGCCAGCCTGACGCCCCCACCGGTAGTACCTCTTCCCTCTCACCATGGCCCTGAAGGAGAAAGTGCTTTCATCATAGCAATGGGAAGGAGGCATTCTCTGTGTCTGGGAAGTCCCCAATCAGGACCAACCAAAGTCTCTAATGATAGGGTGATGGCTGTCCCAAGGACATACCATAAGGACAGGATTTAGGGACAGGACACTGAACTCCAGGCTCCTACTCCCACCCTCCAGCTGCCCTGTGATGGCTATTCTATCTTTATGCTCTGCTGCACTAAGGGGGTCAAAGGGAGGACCCCCTATTTCCATCCAAAGTCACAAAATAGGACAGTCTCCTTGAAACTGAAGGAGAAAGTTAGGCCAGGGACCTTCCAGGGGCCTCTTGGAGACTGCCCAGTTCCTGAGTCACCCACATGGAGGGGTGGTAGACAAGCAGGGGTGGGGCCCACGAAGCTGAGTCACCCCCTCAGCTAGGCTGAGCTGGGCAGGAGATGAGCTCAGGGTGGAGTCCCAGGATAGTACAGAGAGCAGGATAGGGATGCTCAGAGTGGGGCGAAGCTGCCCACTCACCCTTTATTTCTTTCTCTTCTAGAAAGCACGTAACATCCCAAGCTTCAGCCTGTTACCAGCTTGCTCAGGGTCCTTGGGGTGTTCCAGGAAGGAAGGACAGGACACCAAGACCTCCCTGGAAAACTCCACACAGGATTGTGACTATCCGTGGGAGGACCACTCAGCTGCTTCCTCTAGGGGAGGAGCTGGCTACTTCTCCACTTCTAGAGAGCATCTTAGACAGATGGACTAGGACAAGACAGAGCAGTCTGGTGGTAGGCCTTCTCCGTTTTCACCACCCCAGGACTTTACTCGAAGACAGATTCTTTTGCTCAGTCTGTCAAAGCTTCACGTATTCCTCACAGTGGCCACAGGGCAGGAGTCCGACACCTCTCTTTGATCCACAGTCCCTGAAGGGGGTTTATTGCTAGTGTCACTTTCCAGGTGAAGAAACTGATGGGGAGACTGTAGAACATTCCAGGTTGGTATCTCTAACACCCATAACGACACACGGCCATTCTCATATAGCTTTGTCACCTCATCTTGGGATACAGTGCCCTGGGCAAGGATCAGGTAGTCCACAGGTTTGTCATTACTCTTCTCAGTGTCTGATGGGTCTCAGGCCAACAGCCTCGGGCCCCACATCTTAGTAGGATAGCCAGAAAGGAGAGCCCTCCTTCTCCTAGGCTGGAGTCTACAGCCTCC